GTGTGTGTGTGTGTGTGTGTGTGTGTGTGTGTGTGTGTGTGTGTGTGTGTGTGTGTGTGTGTGTGTGTGTGTGTGTGTGTGGGCGTTTGGTACTGCAGTAGCAGGATTAATGGCTATGATCTGAAAGAGGCAAAGCACAGCAGCAGCGAGCAGCGGTGGACCTCCGCTTCTGATTAGTAGCAAAGGCTTGTGTTTCGGCGATGGGGAGGTAATTAGACATTCTACCAGGTTGACGTGCCGGAGTGCTAGCAGATGATTTACACAACACAGATGTTTTGCTTTTCTGTTTGGCCGATGATTAAGCGCATGCATGAGCAGCACGTGAGGGGCACACTTGTCTCTGCTCACAGTTGGGATTTTGGGAAGGGTTGCCAACAGAAGCATCCACAGTCATTCTTGCATGTGTTTATTATTATACAAGCTTTATAGTAGCATCGCTAGGCAACCGAATACATTTTCCTCATGGAGGACAATGTGTGATTTAGATCGGGCTTAATGTGTACAATTTTAAAAGTGTTGTTTTAGGAACAATGGATGTGCTCTTGCTGTAGGGACAGACTTGAGTCCAGGTTTACACGAGAACAGTGATTCCCAAACACAGTGCTTTGGCACTTTAGTGTGCCATGAGAGTTCATCCAATTTTACTTCATTGGTCTGAAAATGACAGTTTATTTGTGACAAATAATTGATCTTGATTCATCTATCTATGTCCGCCACATATACTGACAGGCGGAACAATGAAATACTCTTCCACTCGATGGCATAAGGTACAGTTAACCTGTGAGTGCAGCTGTTGTCGTACGTGCGGTAGAATAATCGGTTGGTGGTTATTAAACAGGCTCAGATTTCACATTGAGTAAATTGAGACGAGATCGTCATGATTTCAGTGTATATAATGTACCCTCGGTGATATTTTCCTTTGTGCCACGAGTTTTCTAAAACTTTGACACTGATGAGTTTCTAAAATGACAGAATGCAGTTGTGTGAATTGGCAGCCAAACCGCACACTTAGCATCCATTTTTATTAAGGCCCACACTTGAAAGCATTCGCTGTGATGAGTTGACGTACACTGCGCCCAAATTAAATAACGCATTTAATTGCACTCTTCTGTCTATTTCCAAGCGATGCAGAATTTTACTGAGTGCCCTAACTCCTGCCAAAGCGATAAGACTGATGAAGAAGATGCTTTGAGTGGTAGTCTTTGAACACTGCCTTCAAAAGGAAATTTAGAAGAGCCAGAAAAAATGTAAGCTGACTTTACTGGTAAATAAATACATGGGAAGAGGAGCTTCAGAAAATCACATCTTGAATTCAAATCACAATATTAACCCTTTCCATGCACCCTGTAACCTGATAACATGATAAGCTGTCCACTGTCGTAACCGCTGTCCCTGAAAGGGTTAAGGTTAACACAATAATTGCAATTTCAAAATAGTTCAGCCCTAATTTAAAAGAAGCGCTCTCTGAAATGTTCTGAACCCCTCTTTCCATTCCATGTCATATTTCTGACATCACGGGTATGTGTGAGCCACTGCTCACTGAGTGTTTTATTCACTTTCTACATGAGGCCATTAATCAACAATCAACTCCATCTTATGTAACATATTCATTGCAACACTTCTGTATAGAAGGTCAGGAGGATCATGGTGGAAACCGGCATTGCCTGAAAGCGCTTACTGAACTCGTCCGCTCGGATTACGGTGATGCACTGAGCTGAGTTATAGTCCTCAGTTCACTTCTTCCACTTCCACTCGGATCGTCAACGGCGGCTCTCAGCATTCATGTGCAATCGCTATATGTGTAACTGTCATCCCTCGTTAGGCTCCGGTTTGCTTACTTGATTTAATGCAAGCAAAGGATTGTGGGTATTGAGTGGAGTTAAAAGACAGCAGCCTGCCTATTGTGTTTTGACATCTGTGACTTGATGAGGAGGTCCCGAAACAGTCATTTCCTCTGTGTGTGTTGTCTCTCAGGGGGACTCCTTAGTTGGCTTGGACCATGAGCTATGAGTCTGCCGTCTGGAACATCCCACCAGAAAACGCCACTGTAAGTCTGGTGCCATGTCAAACGTCCTGTGGTTGTACGGTTTGGTCATCCATTGCACTCGTTAATAAACAACTTCCTGATCTGGATCCGGCATTAGTAAATAAGTAATCCGATCCCAAGTGTAATTTCCGCTCACAAAGAAACAATATGACGATGAGCTCTGGCTGTCAGTCTATCTACTGTATCGTTGTATTTGTCTAATAAGGTTCAACATGAAACATTTTTGGGTGGTGGTCTTGCCGGGCCACCATCATCCAATTTGTGGTGGTCCTACCAACTTGATTTAAAACAATACTTAACCAAATTCATACTCTATATGCAGTCCAGGAATGAGCAACTAAAATTCCTTATACTGTCTCTACTACAATATGAGTAGGCCAAGTACTGCAATGTTTTTGCGTATTTGGAATAATATGCAGTTTTACCTCAGTAATCTAAAAGTGTTGAATGAGTTGAATTTAGTGAAAAAATGTACCGTACAAAATGAGTTCTTGCACTGAATGTTGGTTTCTTGTTCAGCAATTCAGTGCAATCCTTGAATTGTAATTTTCATGCAAGAGAGCCTTTTATACCTGGAAAAATAATACAGTATGTTGTTTTTATTTTTGTTGTCTGCTTAAAACCATTTTGTTGTTGGATTAGGATAGCGGATCTTTTATACAAGCGTTTGGAAAATGGAAAATGAAATATTTTAACCCTTTCAGGGACAGCGGTTAGTACAGTGGACAGCTTATCATGTTATCAGGTTACAGGGTGCGTGAAAGGGTTAAGAGCATGTATTTTGCACATGTGCCTGTATTTTGTCCATATTTAAAATAGCTTTTTGGTCATACATCTGGTCAGGAAGGGTATGTGTCCTCCAGCCTTTAAGTTGCCCATCCCTGATGTCAGCCTACCTGTGGATGAAATATTGAAATGTGTACTCTCAGTGGCCAAAATGCATGCAAGCACAGGGATCAAGGCAGCTGCTTAAAAAAATAAATATATACACTGTCCACTCTCCAGTATATGGTTAACGTGATTTAAAACAATACTTAAAGGACAGCATCCCAAAAGTTGTTGATTCTTCAACATTTATTATTTTTCAAAAACCCACGATTAATTTCAACAATATGTAAAAAAAATGATATGTTCTATCACATCACATGTCTATAAAACACGAATACGACTCGGTGTGTGGCCAGACACAGTCACGTGGTGGTCCCGGGTCATCAAGCTACTGTTAATGTCGGACCCTGTCTAATAATGTCTCAGGAGGTACCGCTTGAGACGGAGGAACAGCAAGATGGCTTTGTGCTTCTGCTGGTGATCCTGTCCATCTTCCTGGCGGGGACGTTGATCTTTGTCTCCATTCTTCTCATCACCTGCCGCCGTTGCTGCCGAGGAGGAGGTCAATGCTGTGAAAGGTATGAAAATGAAAGAATTTATTTGAGGGCTGATTTCGGGCCATGGCTTATAATTGGAAGGAATGAAAGGAATTTAAGATATTATTCATGCAGAATGGGAAAATGTGGAACTTTGTTGTCTGTTTTGATTTATAATGTATCAAATTAATCTCAAGTGCAGTGGAAATGCCCATGATCACTGATCCTCAAATTACCACTAGTGGCTCCCTCTAGTGGTGTGTCAGAGAATCACTGAATTAAATACGATACCTAATGAAGCGTGTAACTATGCATACAAGTTTAAAATTGTTTGACAAGCCTGTGTCATACATTCTTTACTTTTCAAGCATGGTGCATTTCAAAGTACAGTTCGGTTATACTTCACTTTTAAGTCCAATAAGTGTGCACTTTCATTCATCAATCCTTTTCGTTGTTATTTTCTAAACATTGAAGCGCAGCATTAATGTTCGTACAGAGCAGAATAATGTTACTGATGCTTACAATAATAAATAGGCTTTACATGATCATGATTTTGTAGTCAATAACTGAGTTAAAAAAACAAAACAAAAAAAAAATAACCGATCGGTAAATTACAATCGAAAAACCATTTTGCATGACAATGCAAAACATCCAGCTGATCATATCTATGGAACGTATAGTCATAAATACACTTTATAGGAGTAAAACCATATGCTCATTTGACAAACACTTAGACCTACTACATGATTGTACAAAATATTTTCATGTCATGATGATGGTGGTACATGAAAGGCCAAATATTTTATGAGGTGGTATTTGTGTAAAATGTTTGAGAATCACTGCCCTCGAACGAGATTCATACATCCACTTGGTTTTCATACAGCTGAAAATTTTCCATACCAAACTGATCTGCCTGCCCGTGTTTGTCAACCACTCATTTCCTGGAATCGAGCACCCACACAAAACTTCCCATGTGCATGCACACCTTTATTGCATATCTCCTCTTGAGTAAGCATCACCAAGGAAGTTCATTGGAAGCAGTTCAAAAGTTTTGTGTTTATTTATTGGGAGTGACTTGTTCAATCCGCCACCATGAGGCTAAAGGAAGTTCAAAGTACCGACTGGCCCTTTGATTAAAAAAAGACAAGAAACACCGTAAAATTCAAGAGTGAACTTGTAGTATGAAAATGGCGGGTTACGCTTCCAAACAATAATATTCCTTCTTCTTCCCCAGTCATCACTTTCTTGCGCCATCGACAGTCTTCAGTGAAGAAAAAAGTAATCTTAAATGTTCATTTATCAATGTCGTTAGGCAATTCACATTGCCTTAGGGCTGCAACAAATGCTTATTTTAATCTTTGAATTTCATTTCTGCCTCCTTATTCAAAAACATGACATTCTTTCAAATTGACAGTGCAGAAAATGCACAAATGTAATTTTATTATGATCCATTTCACTGGTTTGGCCGGTAACATGTCAGAAATTTTGCAAAAATGTGGATCAAAGTAAAACCAGTTGGCTGCAATTTATTTATTTTGAAAGGGAAAAAAAACACACACACAAAGACACCCAGTCTGCTTTGATGGAGATTTTAGATTGTTGACATGCTGAAATTCCAGTAGTTGTTGAGCAATTCATTAATCATTGCACCTCTGCATTGCTTTCTTTATGTTAAACTGTAGTTATTCTCTGTAAAGTATTTTTTTTTATAAATATATTTGATGCCTGGAACAGACTCATTGGATTTGTATTATTTCCTATGGGAAATATTGATTCAGTTTCTGAATAATTCAGTTTTAGTCACACTTAACCATGAAAACCTAGGTACCTCCGTACATTTCACATCCTCCTGTATCCTTGGCCAAAAATAAAAAGGTATAATATGATAAAATGGTGAAGGAAAACTGTGAAACAATCACTTGTCTTGTGTGCATGTGCTAGTGCGGCCCCTTTAAGGACTGAGCAAGAGAGAGAGTGTGGAAACGTAGTCGTACAAGGTGTGAAGGAAGCCCTCAGGGGACGTGCACCTCACGCCCACAGAGAAACGCCAGTCTATCCGATTCATTATTCCGCTTGTTGCCAGGCAGAACCTGTGGGTTACAATGGGAGATACAGTTACAATTTCAAATGAATCTTCTCGACGAATCCACTTTGAGGGATTCCTAAATGTAAAGCACTATTTAGTACTAGTTCACCGAACGTAATGTTTTCCCACATTCACACTGAAATTGTGTGTTACTCATAACTTTAGTTTCATCGGAGCCGACCGACAATAGTAAATTTCTGCGCATCATTGACGCTCCCCGAAATGCTAAAATTAATCGTCGACATCGGGGGTCGGCAACCTGCGGCTCTGGAGCCCAAGATGGCTCTTTATCGCCGCCCTAGTGGCTCCCTGGAACCTTTTCAAAATGGTTTGAAATGGAAAAAGATGGGGGAGGGAAATATATTTTTTGTTTTAATATGGTTTCTGTCGGAGGACAAACATGACATGACAACATATTCCAATGCTGTAAAAAAGTGTTAATTAATTTTTAACTTCATTATTTTTTTGCGGCTCCAGGCGTTTTTGTTTTTTTTGGTCCAATATGGCTGTTTCAACATTTTGGGTTGCCAACCCCTGGTCTAAATCCTAAATATACCATAAACTATGATCCCCAAACACTTTAAGAGCATTTCAAATGCTTATCATCTTCAAACATTGGAATTGCATATGAAGCTTCCTGCACAACAATCCAGAAGCGTCTTTCGTGAGATCACCTCAGAAGCAGACAATTGAGCCGTTTTTCCAAGGTGCTTAAAATTGGGTGGGGATGGGTTTTTTTTACTTTACTTTGTTTTTATATTTACAGCAACACACATCATTGCCCGTACTTAAAAAATATGAGAGCAGCAGATATAAACAGAAGCCGCCAAAAGGCAAGGAAGGCTGTGGCGCTTGAGAGCATCGCGCAATCAGCCAGACTAGTACAAATGATGAGCTTAATGAGATTTCATCGCAGCCATCGGCGGTGATTAATCTACCCCCACCCCCACCCCTCTCTGCTCGGTGCACAACACAACACACACATTCACGCTGACATGAAAACTGTGGGAGCCACACCGGAAATGAAAGACAAGAGGAAGCTGAGATCTGGGATGGCACACATACTTTAGCCGCATGCATGAAGCTTATTGCTCTGCACCAAGATTTCAGATGGAAGGAAATGACTGGACGGGATTTTCATTCTCTTTTCTCTTCCTCGTAAAGTAAATGGCAGGTTTGGGCTTTCACTTGATTGAAGCAAGGCAAGCAAATGTTTAACCCCACACCGTGTGTGGGACTAATGCATGTTGTTTTTCACACCAGCATTTGGATTTTTACTAGCATTATGTCCATGATTATTTTAGAGACCTTTTTATGAAATCACATGAACTCATTATGGTTTTATTTCATGTGGTGTTATGGTCAGATTAAAGCAGAACCTTTAAAGTTGAACGCAATCCATTCTGAGACTCTGGTCGACCCCCACTTTGTTGTCCAAATGACTTTTCACATATGAAATAACAGAAATACAAATAATTGTGTATGGGAATATTTTAAAGGAGCCTTTTAAGTGCGTCATTAATGTATAGCTGGAGAAAAAAAAATCAACATGCAGTTTAAGGACTTTCGACCAGACAGTAGTAGATATAAAAAGCCTTAGGAGTAATGAAGTATACCCGTGACATAAAAATATATAAATGACCAAGATAAATTGTTGCAAAACCTTTTCCCACATTTAATGTGCCCTATACAGTTTATTTTGTCCAACACAGAGCAAAAAGAAAGCTATGATAAGGTGCGAGATAATTGATATACTGTAATTGACACTATGCATTGCGTTCTGTTATGAAACAAGTTTTGCTTCCAGATGTCATTGATCAGCCCATCGCTGTATATTTTTTTTCCCATCACATCTCATTGTGTTCTGCTATGGCACAGTCATTGCTGAATTTCTACAGGTATCTGATTGGCCAAAATGTCCTTACCGTTGGGGGTTACACAGTAGTGCCGCACCGCACACGAGTTGTGGATCAATGTCTAGGGACTTTGGAAAAGTGCAAGCTAATGAAGCACGAGCTGACTGACATGATTTAGCCTCCCTTGTCATGGAGCTATTTTTCCAACAGGCCACTGAAGCATCAGCTTCTGCATTTGTCCATCTTGCTTGATGTGAAAACGACACGGAGCAGCGTAATGCATTTCAATGTTGTTGTTGTTTTGTTTTTTTTTTGTGCCGCAGTAGCAGCGATGAGACGGAGCAGCGTAATGCATTTCAATGTTGTTGTTTTTTTTTGTTTTTTTTTTTGTGCCGCAGTAGCAGCGATGATGTTGAGAAAACCAACGCTACATACACGGAGGAGTCTCAGCCCACCCATGGTGAGCGTGGGTGGTGTGTGTGTGTGTGTGTGTGTGTGTGTGTGTGTGTGTGTGTGGGGAGGGGTGGGGGTACAGTGATAGAGGGAAGAGAGATGCAAGAAAGATGTTGGGCACAGTGACGCTTTTATCATGTCAGCACAATGTCTATTACATTAAAAAAAAAAACAGCAATTTTTCAAACGACTTGCTTAAAGCGCTCGCACAGTGCCTACGACACGTTCTGATACTCTGCGGACCAGTGAATGCACTCTGTCTCTGCAGAAAGCGATTTAATAAAAGGCAACATGAAAGTGCTTTTCTCAGGCGTTTTTTTATGAAGGAGTTTCACCAGTCAGCATCCAATATATCAGATAGCTCCTATCTGGAAAATGATCAAACAACTGCAATCACTTCGGCATAATTGCAACATTTCTTCCTTTTATTGTCTCCGGGTAGAAATCACGATCAAGGTGGATGAGTCCGACTGTTTGTCAGTGGCCAGCTCTCACGATCAGGAGACAGAGCGCTTCCTCTCCACGGGAACCACGGGCCGTCGGGTCTCCTTCAATGAGGCAGCGCTCTTTGATCACGGCAAGAAGGCTCAGGAGAAGGGTCGCAGGTTAGAGAGAAATGCATGCCAGAGTTGTCCATGGTACACCACATTCATCCATGCATCCATTTTGTACCGCATGTCTCTTCATTATGGTCGCAGGGGAGCCGGAGCCTATCCCAGCTGACTCATGCATGGTTTTGGAATGTTGGCAGAAGGACAAAAACACATGGAGAACATACCAACTCTACAACCCAAAAACATTTTGACTGTGGGGAAGCGATGCTAACCACTAGATGCTGCATGCACACTTATTTGAAATGTCAAAACTCAAAGAGACTTTGTGGTGGTAGACCAAGAAGAAGTATACAATTTTGTTTCTTGGAATAAATATGCTGGGTGCATGGAAATGTATACTTATACCTGCCCTCGACAGTTTTCAACCTCAAATGGACCGGCCGTACGGAGTCCTCCTGAACTTTCCGATGGCCACAATTCACAAATATCATGTTACACCACCTGCGCCACAACTTAGACCAGATTTTAGCTGGTCTAAAGTTTAGTTTACTTTCAGCCAAATGACAGGTGCTTGTAAGATAAAACTCCCTGGTACGAACAGCATGGAGCTGCGCCATCTGCCAATTTCTTAAACATGTTACACTCGGCTTGCGTCAGCATGAAAATGAAGATGCGCAAGTTTTGATAAAAGTTTACCACTCAAGGAGCTGTGCAGTGCTGTCAGAGTGTGCTGGAGGTACTTATAAGTTGAGACTTTCTCAATGTCCATTTCCTGGATGTTCAGCAATGCAGATGGAGAGTGACAGCGCCTGCCAAAAATCCACCACCAATTCCTTTGTTCTTCCACTGCTGACATAGCACTATTCCATAAAGCCCTGTGTAACTTCTCTGCAATCCATGCCATCTCTGTCAGTTAATGAGCCTGACAATGACAGAGTCATCAGAGAACTTCTGCAGGTGACAGATAGGGGTGCTGTCGCTGTCGTCTGCCACGTAGCGGAACAGGAAAGAAGCCAGGACAGTTCCTCGGAATGCCTCGGTAATCCAGGGAAACATGTTAGATTTGCAAGGGCATTTCCTAACGTGCTGTGGTTCAGTAGCTTCCGTGTCGTCTGGTGGCCAGACTCCGGTAATTGCTTGATAGTTCCTCGGAATGCCTTGTTAATCCAGGGAAACATGTTAGATTTCAAGGGCATTTCCTAACTTGCTGTGGTTCAGTAGCTTCAGTGTCGTCTGGTGGCCAGACTCCGGTAATTGCTTGAAAGTGGCACTGGATCCTCACCTGTCCTATCTGATAATATCCAAGAATCTAGTCCACTATAGAGTTACGGATTATGGATATTTTAGTATCGATTCTGGATATATTATAGACTCAGTTATTCTGATACCCTTCACGTCTTGTGAAATCTCAATGTGCACCATATCAGCATGCGCTGAACTATACGAGTTGGTGGAAATGGGATTCTGCTCTACCCCTATATATGGTCATTTTTTTCCCCAACCTTCAATTTCAGATACACTCTGACTGAGGGAGACTTTCACCATCTTAAGAACGCGCGGCTCACGCACCTCCACATCCCGCCCCCGACGCTCAAGATAGTCACCATCCATGAGTGCGACTCGGCGGAGAACACCATCGCCATGACAACGCACCCTGTCGCCAAGTCGGCGCTCTCCATCTTCCAGGTGACAGTCGCATCCAGTTACTCTAGCCCTGTTACATCATTGCTCATGACATCCTCCGATGTTGAATATCAAGTCACTTAAGACAGGACAAACACGAAATAAATTGACGATTCCGACCACAGAGACAAGATCTACCTTTTTTGCGCTGCGTGTATTGATTTCCGATTTCGCTCCTCATGTTCAATCATTTGAGCTCGCAGCCTGGGTGGGTGACAATTCTGGATTTTTGGGGGAAAATATCGCAATGCAGCTTTGTTGTAGCCAGCTCGGTTTGATTCTTCATTTCGTAACGTAATCGAATGACAAAGACTCATAGTGTGTTTGAACCCCGTCAGCCCATGCTGTGTCCCCTGCCGCAAACCGCACTGACCAGCTTGAGCCCCAATTCCAGCTCTGCTCTCCCTGGTGACACCCTCAACTCAACCGTGGTGGAGGCCACTTTTAGTGCAAATACGACTGCTAAGACAAATGGAGGGTCTGTAAGTTACCTCCAGTTACTTTACACCGCACATATCTGGAAGGTGTATCAATAAGAGATATTTTGGATTGTCAGAGACCCCCCATTGCTACTTTCTGTCTGTTCAGACGGAGATGATCGGAGTAGCGTCCCGGGGCCGAGGCGGCAGCGTCAGCGCAGGAGGAGGGACCGCCCCCGCCGGCACTGTGCCTCCTGTGACCAGCGGTTCAGGAGGCCAGGGTCCAGTCCAGCAGTTCTTCACTAAGCTGCGGCGCCACGCGAGCCTGGAGGGGGCCAGTCCCTATTTCAAAATTAAGAAATGGAAGCTAGACAGCAGCCAGAGGGCTTCAAGTCTGGACATGAGAGGTAAGAAACATTCCATTGAGTGAAGTGGATTTCTGTAAAAATCATCTTCATAGTTCTTGGAAAACAGGAAAAGCGGTTCAGTCCTCAACGTTCTTTGTTATTATTTGTGAAAACTCTTTCAGGAAGGCATGTGCAGTTGAATTACAAAACATTAGGCTTTCTTTGCTATGACAGACACATGTCAATCTCTTGTGTGCAACGCTGCCAGTCATTCTTCTGCAAACTGAAAGGCAACAAAATGCTTCACGACTTCTCACATGACGACCCCAGTTTTACAATTCAGATTATGTGACGACCAAAAACCAGCGGGAGGTTTTCTTTTACCTGAGATCAGCCCGGCATCGCATTTTTCATCGACAAAGTTTATTTCCATAACTACAGTAATCCCTCGTTTATAGCGGGGGGTTACACTCCAAAAAGAACCCGTGATTCATCTTGATTGTTTTCAATTATTTTGTATACAGTACAATAAATGAAAAATTAAATGAAACCAAAGATTAAATGTTTTTTCAGGTCCACGTATTTAAAAAAAAAAAACTAAAATCTAAATGTTTCTTACAAACAACTCACAGTTTTTAGAAATTCTGTGTTTCGTCAACATAGTGGGGTTTATGATGGAGAAAATTTCCCAAGCTGTACAGAGACGGGGCGTGGAGACTGTTGACATTAGTCGACAGTCCCTTAGCCAATCAGGATGCACAACACAATGGACTGTAAAAAAAAAAAAAACTAAAATCTAAATGTTTCTTACAAACAACTCACAGTTTTTAGAAATTCTGTGTTTCGTCAACATAGTGGGGTTTATGATGGAGAAAATTTCCCAAGCTGTACAGAGACGGGGCGTGGAGACTGTTGACATTAGTCGACAGTCCCTTAGCCAATCAGGATGCACAACACAATGGACTGTAAAAAAAAAAAAAACTAAAATCTAAATGTTTCTTACAAACAACTCACAGTTTTTAGAAATTCTGTGTTTCGTCAACATAGTGGGGTTTATGATGGAGAAAATTTCCCAAGCTGTACAGAGACGGGGCGTGGAGACTGTTGACATTAGTCGACAGTCCCTTAGCCAATCAGGATGCACAACACAATGGACTGTAAAAAAAAAAAAAACTAAAATCTAAATGTTTCTTACAAACAACTCACAGTTTTTAGAAATTCTGTGTTTCGTCAACATAGTGGGGTTTATGATGGAGAAAATTTCCCAAGCTGTACAGAGACGGGGCGTGGAGACTGTTGACATTAGTCGACAGTCCCTTAGCCAATCAGGATGCACAACACAATGGACTGTAAAAAAAAAAAAAACTAAAATCTAAATGTTTCTTACAAACAACTGACAGTTTTTAGAAATACTGTGTTTCGTCAACATTGTGGGTTTTATGATGGAGAAAATTTCCCAAGCTGTACAGAGACGAGGCGTGGAGACTGTTGACATTAGTCGACAGTCCCTTAGCCAATCAGGATGCACAACACAATGGACTGTAAAAAAAAAAAAAATTAAATTAAAAAGTGAGGAATTCTCCTAATATCTCCTCCTAACATCTACTAATTTAATGTCCATCGTGCAGTGAGACATAATAATAAGAATAATAATCAACAATTCTATTCTGATTTTGATCACATGACTCCAGCACAGCAGTGTCCATTGTCCTCTGAAATTATTATTATTTTTTCCATCAACACCATGCCAAGGTGTTTGACTTAGCCGCTTCGGTGTATGGCAAATAATAAAGCAGGGTGCCACGGTAATAAACTATGAGTGGCCTTCTGGCTGCTCTGACGGTTTGGATATGCACAAACACACAAAGGACAGATGGCTTGGTGACTCAAAGTTGTGTTGTTCCAAGTCAATTTAAGCCATCGTGTGAATCCTGCCTGGCATCACACATTGACACACGCACACACACACACACACACACACACACACACACACACACACACACACACACACACACACACTCCCCTATCTACTGCGGGATCAGTTTTTCCTTCATACCAAGACTCCAAAGATGATCCCAAAATCCCCTTCAGACGCCTGAACGGCTGATGGTAGATTTAATCATAATCAGTTCGCATTTCCCATCCTACTGTCACCAAACTTTCCAAACTTCTTCCCCTACTCTCTCCCTGCGTCAGGCTCACCGAAGAGAAGGCAGTTCCAGCGTCAACGGGCCGCCAGCGAGAGCATGGACCAGGACGACAATGACACACATCATATTGATCTTATCCAGTACATTGCCCGCACCCAGGACATCGCCTACGGTCCCGGCAGGCCTGTGCTCTCTCCTCCATCTGCACCACCCCCGTCCCTCGGCAGGTATCTTTAATTCCCTTGCCATTCATCCTGTCCACTGCTTTGCTTTGCACTCATCTTATCAAAAATGTTCAGCGATGATTATGACGCTACACGCTCTGCGTTCCAGTTCTTCCTCAGGGTTCAATACATTTCAACAAGTCGCTAAATACTGTGATACTCAGCTAAGATAAGTGTCAGGACATACCACGGCAGCCACTGCAAATCATATCAATCATTCCGTGCTCTGTGAAAACAGCCGCGTCGCCGGTGAATGTGATATTCACGAATGTTCTGACATTGTCATTTTGCGTATTTCCTTTTCCTCTTTACCTGTGTGCAACCACAGGGTAGAGGTAGAGGTAGAGGTGATGGTGGAGCCCACCTGCAGCCATACTGGGCCGGGGGTGATTGGCCTGTCCCCTGATCCCCAAGACGAAGGGTTTTCCCTGGCGACAAGGGAAAGCTCTGAACCGCTATCACTCCAGGATCCCCAGACACTTTACAGAGACATTTGGACCTTACGCGCATCACTGGAACAATATGCTGCCTCAGACCAAAGCAGCAATAATGATCGGAACTCTATCTGCAGCGATGCTGACAGCGTGTGTACAGAAAAAGAAAGAGAAGAGCTCCCCAGCTGCTCATCCCAAGACTTGGGAGATGAAACGGAAGGTGCAGAGGATGAGAAGGAGTTTTTGGTGTACATGGATGAGACACTGGGGGCAAAAGATGTAAGGAAACAACAAAGTACTGAATCCGAGCGAGGCGGGAGTGACGGTGAAACATCTACTCGTAAATTGTTGCAAATGGATAGTGGCTACGCATCAATAGAGGCCCCTTTTCGTGGTCCTGAAGATTTGCGAATGTTTGGAAGCAGCAGCCCAAAGGAGAGAACGGCCCACGAGAAGAGGCACCACTTCACCAAGGCAGGGCGTTCTGGCACGATTGGCGAGAGCTTTGAGTCGCACCTCTATGAGGAGGGGCCAGATGAGCAATTGTTGGGCGCCACAGGAGGAGTTTCCATAGAAACTGGCGTTGAGCCACCGAGCTGGTTTCCATACGGCCAGATGATCACCCCTCGGGAGGCTTCACAACCCCCCGCTCAACCCGCAACCCTTCATCGGAGAGACTACAGCATAGATGAGAAAACGGATGCGCTCTTCCACGAGTTTCTCCGTCATGACCCCCAATTTGACCAGCAGGAGTCAGCGCTAAAGAAGCACCGGTCCCGAATCCACATTCGAAAGCAGTGGCAGCGGCACAAACAGTGGAGCGACCCCGGCGTCAGACACTTCCATTCCTCTTTCGAGAGACAACGAACTCCATTAAGGAGGGGTGACAGTGTGAACTGCCCGATGGATACGAGCTACCAGAGCATGCTGCCCCGCATCGTCAGCGCACCCGACGAAGAGACCAGCGACAGCAGCACCCCCGAAACTCCAAAGATAGAGATTACAACTCGCGAGGTTGCAGGGAAGGAGAAAGGACAAGATTCCACCGGAGATCCGATATCATCATCATCATCACATCTTCAACCATCCACCTCCGAGAAAGACGAACGGCAGAGTGAGCATCCGGAGACTCAAGAGGACAGCAAACCGCCCGGACACCCCTTAGAACCTTTGGACGAGCGGTCGCCCCTTCAACCACCCGACTCCTCGGGCTATGGCCCACAAACCATCACGGCAGAGCTCACGGACAAATTGACCGCTAACCTAGACGAGAGGCTATATACGAGCCTTCGAAGGACCAAGGACACAGCGACCGAGTGTTTGACGGTGACGGCTACCCATGCTTCTCCAGACCACAGTCCGGTGTAGCTCCACTCGTCTTCACGGTTGACACCATAGCTGCTCATTCGCACTCACGGCTCTGTTTTGATAATGAATTTAAAATGAGATGAATGAACAAGCCGGGCGGTACAGTTCAGTTTGGTTCGCTTCGGTAACATTTGGAAGATCAAAACCTTATCCGGACGGACATCATTTGAATGTGACAGTGTTACCCAAAAAGAAAAAGTCTGGTGCTGCATGCACACGAGAAAATTTCTACCCATGCTAGTTTGTAAATGCCACCTTTTTTTGTCTTCTGTTGTCACGTAGAGGTTACAAGCATCTGTGAACCATTTTTTAAATTTTCCCTTCACAACGTTTAAGGGTAGGAATCTAAAAAAAAAAAATTTGAAAATCACACTAAAATGAATCAAACTGTATCGCTTGGTGGTCATTCAAGGGTCTTATTTTTGTCATATGTCGGTGGTCAGTGGTGAAATGATTTGTAGAGTCGAAGGTAATGACACGGTTGAACATTAATTTTTGTTTTTCTGTTCCTGTCTTCTCGTAATTAATGTTAAGTTATGGAATGGTGTAGCTGGTCCGCATGCGGCAAGTGAAGTGGTACAGGTGTAGACTAATCTATAACAAAACACTATAATAATATATTTTATCACTACAATTAATTGTTTTGGGGTTGGGTTTTAAGCCTACCGTGTGTGTTGCATTTTATAAACCCAAATATAGAATATGCGCTAAAACGCGCTGGGAGATTCAGGTTAAGCTAGTTGTTCAGATCACTAGTTTGCCAAAACATCATTTGGGACTCACATTCTTTGACTGGGTTTGTACTCAATTGTATGTAAACAGACACGAGTCACAAGTATCAGTTGTAGTCGAAAACACTGGCGCTTTCCATGGGTAGTTAGCTAGCTAGCTAGCTGCTAGTATTTCTTCGGTTAAAGCTCATGTGAAAACATCGCATCCGTTTCCATACATTGTGTTCAAATAGTTCGGGTTCTACTTCACCTTTTATCGATTTTCTCTCAGAATCTCCTTCAATGTCATCATTCATGTGTAGCTAAATATATTTTTGTACGTGCTTTCAGTGTGAACGTGCTAGACACGGCAATGCATTTTTTTAAACAACGCAGGACCGCGGAGAACACTTTAGGTCCAGTCCTGGTCTTGTAGAGGTTTGCGGTTTTACGTTAGCAGTGAGCTAAAAGGCTCGCTCTTTACGGGTGTTTGCGTTTTTGTTGAATTTCTATGAAAGGCATGACTTCTTGCGCATGAGGCTCAACGGGAAGGACTTTATTTGCCTTGCATCTGACATCCTTGTTTTCCTGTCCGCGTATCCTCGTCTGCTCCTAAGACAGTTGACAGCAGAGGAGATGCCTGCTAACTCACAATGCACCTAATAGCCAATCATTTTTTTGCTCCTGGATCTTTTTGCTTGAGTGTAAGCTTGTTTTGATGATAGAACATTATTCCCAGGGGCTCCCTGCCTCATGCGCAGCGAGGGGAGCCTCTGCAGAGGTGTGGTATTGAATATAAATCATCACAGCAGAGGGGAAACCCTCATTTTGAGTCTCCTTCTTTGTGAGCCCGTTGCATCGCGGTGCCTCTGCAGTTAACGTTTGAAAGATGAAGTTCCCTGAAAGTCAAGAATCAGCATATCGGTACTAAAACGTAGATCAGCATTTTGGTTTTGCGTATGCTGATGAATCATTTTGGGTTCACGAGAACAGATTGGTGGCAACTGGAAGTGTTTTTTATGAAATATAGGTTTTGTTGAAAGTATTACTCTGATGACATTTACATTTCCTGTCGTCCAAATACAGCTGGGTTAGACTCCAGCATGCCCGAGACTCGAGTGAGGATGAGGATGTTTCTCAGAAAACGTGGTCCGCACAGGACTACAAATGTTGAGCCAGTTAGAGAGTCAATATTTTTTTCCCCCCTTTTACAAATCAATCACCATATTTGACTGTTTACATCCTTGCATAAATACTGCAGAGATCAAATAAACAACCTTACTGAGAACGGTGCTGTTGTTTGTGTGTGAATGTGTTTGGAGCAGTGAAAAATAGCCCCTTCCTGTTCATGACATGTTGACACTCCTATGTACGTGAGAGCCCTTGATACCCATGAAATGCATCAGCACGGCTAGAATGTAAATACAACACAATACTGTTTAATCAAATTCATCATTGTCCATTGTGTGACAATGTGTCGGCAGAAAAAAAATTCCGCCGCTGTACATTTTTAGTTCTCGAGGTAGCTCCGATGATTTACAACTGTACTTAACTGTACTTAACCGTACTTGTTTTGAATAAACAGAACGGCAACAAATAGGACACACTCACACCAGAGTAGCTGATGGCCACAACTCACCCCCATACCCTCCACACTAAGACCGGAGTTAGTCTTCCCCTACCCGGCTTGTCCCTTGTCCCTTGTCACTGACATCATCCCCCTACTCAACTGGCCCCCACCCTCACACACAAGTTCTTCGACTGAATATCTTTTTATGAAGGCAGTAAAGCTGTCCCAAGAGTAATAATAATTTCAAACCAATTTTATACTCAGTAATTGGTGTCCATGTACCGACCGCTCCAATATGAAACAATTGGAGTCGACCACGACATTCAAGAATCTCCTGAGAACATAGAGCTGAGTGAACTCTTTATTTATTCAAAGCACACCGCAGGAACATTTGATTTAGAGCATATATTATTTTTTAACTAGTTCTACACAATTTCAGTTTTGGGCTCACGTCTCCTTCCTGGGAAATGATTTCTGAGAACCAAGCATAAGCGGTTCAGAGAATGGATGGATGGGCGTAGTTCCGTTTACATATTAGAAGAAATAGGAGGATGAGGGCCAGATTGAAAAAAACATCCATCCATTCATCCATCCATGTTTTATGTTGCTTATCCTCAGTAGGGTTGACTTGGAGCGAGACGTGTGGCACTTCTGGAGTGGACGCAGCCACTCACAAGCCACATATAGACAAGTAATCAATCACATTAATGAACAATTTTTTTTTTTTTTTAAAGTAAGCGTATGTTTTACCATGCTGGTGTCCAATAATACAGTGCGCCTTATGTATGTGTTCAATAAAGAAACAGCACCCGTAACTAAGACTGCGCCTTTGAATACGGTGTGCTGTATGGTCGCGAAAATACGGTATTTGCTTGGTGTGGCCCTAATAGTTTTTCATGGTTGAATGTATTTTAGTCATCTGTCAAAGTGGGATTGGGATTGTGTTGCTGTCACCAGCGGAAAATCCCGAAAGAGAGGAAAAAACATATTTTACCTCATTTAGAGCTCACCTGTGATGCACCTAAAAGGACAAAAGATGTTCACCATCAATTTTGCTAGATTTATGCTTATCATGCTTATTTATCCATCAAAGTGTACATTTAATGATTTTTCATTATTATTCTAACTGCTTAGAATAAAACTCTGCAGTTTGCACTTTTGTTGGAAAGTGCACATTTATCTATTATCGCCAACTACTGGCCCGGCATGCACATTACAGTGTTTTTCAATCATGCCTTTGTTTGCAGCTTTACATAAAGTCTTTCATAAACCCAAAGTAAAAATACAATTGCTTTCTGAGAATGGTGAGGAATAAGAATGACTCCTCTGCGTAAAGCGTAACACAATCCCGCTGCGAGGACGTACAAACAAGCCAAACCAATCACTTGACCTCCTCGGGAGAGGAAATAAATGAGCCTCGTCTCTCTCTCTTTGATTGGGCTCTATGATGCTCCTTTTTCCAGGCAGCCCAGATTAGATCTCCCGCCTCTCAAAGATGAGTGGGCTCGGAGGCTCATTAGGGCAACAATGGTGTTGATGGAAGGAAGCGATTTCAAATAAGTAGCTGGCGCAGCGGCCTCTTCCTTCTGATTATATTATCATTTTTTTTCTAATCTCATCACATCGACTCCCTGGATGCATCATCCCAGCTCGAGTTTTTGCGCCGATACACAACACGTGCTCTGCAACATGTTACTCCATGACTATCTTTAATTAGAAGATGAAGATTGAATATTGTTTAAAGACTATGACCACAATCACTACGCATCAGATTCAGAAGACAAAGACTCCATTCATTCAGGATCAGTGCGACCATAATACTCAGAAAATTGATTATGTTATTGATATGGCTGCTTCATGTTTCATGACATTTATTTATTTTTTTCAGTCACAGTAAATTCCATTTCCTTTTCTATGATTATCTTTAAAAAAAAAAGCGCCTTGTTACAGCTGCAGCTGTTGTGAAAACGCTATATAAATCAGGGTGCATTGTATTGTAAAACAAAACAAAGAAAAAAAAGCCATGGAAAATCCTTTAGATCACAGGTGTCAAACTCAAGGCCCGGGGGCCAGATCTGGCTCACCACGGTAACTAAAATGTGGCCCATGACAAAAATGACTTTGACACCCTTGCTGTAGATGCTCACAGAGTTGAAGTCATCCCTGTCAATGGTTTAAACTCCCAAGTTTTGATCCATATTTAAACTCTAAATTGTACTTTGGTTCCCCTCTACGTAACTAATAATAGAAATGAAGCTTTATAGTACTGAGCAAAAAATGTCTTGGTCGGCACGATGGAATACTTTTTAGCACGTCTGTCTCGCAGTAAAACAAATACGCCAGCTTTTGCATTAGCTTAAGGGCAATCTCAAACAAAAATGTCCATCAGAACATGCTTGAATGTTTCTATATTGAGTTATCAAATGCATTGAATTGGGGATTAACATTTTAGTGCAAATAATATCTCCTCGCACTGTACAAAAATAAACATATCAATGTCCGATTCTCTGCACATCCTTTTATGTATGCGTTATGTTGGGATGCTGTGCCTAATGACACAGATGACGGCATTTCCTCACTTATTAGTCAGATGCTCATTTCTCAAAAAAGGACGAGAGCTTTTGTAAGAATTTTGATTCTGTTGATGAAAATCTGTTTCACGTGAAGAGACCAAATTGCTCTCTCTCCTCAAAGACACACACACACACACACACACACACACACACACACACACACACACACACGCACAATACTCAGCTAAACCAACTTGCTGCTTTTTGTTGAAGGTCAAGCCATGGGAACCGATCATAAATCATTTTTCCCTCCGCTCAGGAAATACATTCAATTTATTTTTAGAACCATTTATTGTTGTTCAGAATGATTTCTTGCCAACTTAATTGTCAAAACAAGACAGCCCAGGAGTTACAGTGCATTACTTTTTTTTTTTTTAACCATTTGGGACTAACAAAAAAAGAGTATCAGATCCAATTTAAAACCCGCCTCAAAACTCACTTGTATTCTTTGGCATTTGTCTCAGCATGACTCAGACTTGATCTTAGATTTACTGTTGGGTGCTTTCTACCGTCCTTGTTCCTGATTTATTGCTTTATTGTTGTATATCTGATAATTGCTCCATGTACAGCCCTTTGAATGCAGCAATGGCTGTTTGAAAGTGCTCTATAAATACAGTTGAGTTGAGTTGTGTACGAAATATGCATCAGATCAAAGTAAAACAAATAAGATAAAACAAATTAAGATGAAGCACAACATTCATCCATCCATCCATTTTCCGATCTGCTTATCCTCACAAGGGTCGCTGGGTGTGCTGGAGCCTATCCCAGCCGTCTTCGGGCAGTAGGCGGGGGACACCCTGAACAGGTCGCCAGCCAATCGCAGGGCACACATAGACAAACAACCATTCATGCTCACACTCACACCTAGGGACAATTTGGAGTGTCCAATCAGCCTGCCATGCATGTTTTTGGAATGTGGGAGGAAACCGTAAGACCCGGAGAAAACCCACGCAAGCACGGGGAGAGCATGCAAACTCCACACAGGAAGGCCGGAGCTGGAATTGAACCTAGAATTTAATTGTTCATGTGAACATAAACTGACAACACGAACAGACAGACGGATAGATAGATAGATAGATAGATAGATAGATAGATAGATAGATAGATAGATAGATAGATAGATAGATAGATAGATAGATAGATCGATCTAAATTAAAGGCTGAAACTACTGGATTCGCATTTTTAGGGGTTGGAGAGGGGGGTCCTTTTTTTTGTCAAAATGGAATTACCGGCAAGCGTATTTAGTTGTGTGTTTCAGTAGGGTGTTCCCAATGGTAATATGAGTATTGCATCATGTAATGTGATCATTATTTCCGGCAAGTCAATTCGCGCGTGTTACACGTCCCATCTGCAAAGCACGAATAATTGCGGCGTTCCCCGCTTTTTCGCGTCGTGCCTTCGCCAGTCCGCCCACGTGTTGCACATTTCAAGTCACTGCACAAAAAAAGACGCACATGAATGAACACGTATTCCTCTTCTCCCTCCTCCTTGCGACACCTCGCCTCCCCGAAGAGAGGCTGTGAGGAAAACCCACCACGCTCCTTCTCCACTCGCCCACGCATTCCAATCATCGCCACCCCCTAGCTCTCCTCAAGAGATCGCCTTTCTCGGGTGGGCAAAAAAAAAAAAGAGAGACGCAGATGACTCACCATCTTCCTCCTCGCTCCCATTGAATGAGGTGAAACATTTGAATTCGCACCAACTTCTACACTGGGACTGAATATGTGCCATATCCATTGGAACATATTATATTGACACTCGCATAAAATGCCATATAGAGCCAAGATAGCATTTAGCTCTCATACACATGTAAGCTTATGTTATATAATTAATTCTTATCATTTTATTTTTGAGCTTCATATTCTTTCATGTTAAGATTACCTAAATTACATCTGTTGTTTAATAATTGCTTAGATGTGTTTTTATGTTGATAGCTTCTGATTGGCTGTTGAAGTAAGGGTAAGCAGGAAGTTATTTAGTTAGCGAGTGTGTGTGTGTGTGTGTGTGTGTGTGTGTGTGTGTGTGTGTGTGTGTGTGTTTTCGATCGTGCTATGGTCTCGACGTCCTTCACGTTGAGTTCAAACGGAATCCATCTCTCCTTTTGCCGTTTCGTAAAATACAGTAATCCATTCAAAAACAAGAACCCCT